CTTAGAGCAACCCTGATAGTAAAGCCGTTAAAGTACCCCCTAAAGTAGTCCTTAGAGCAACCCTGATAGTAAAGCCCTTAAGGTAACCCTGAACGTGTCTACGCCGAGGCTCAGAGCAAGGCCCAGCTCAAGGAGATCGAGGCGCCCCGTGGTGCCCTGGGTGAGCTTAGAGTTTAGGGTTCAGGGGCTGAGGGGTTTCAGGGTTTGGGGTTTAAGGGATTGGGGATTTGTAGAGATTGCTAAGGGCTTGGGGGTGCTAGTTTTGACCGAAAGGTTTGACCGAGTTTACTGAAGTCTTTCTTGAGGGTTGAGGGATTGGGGTTTAGGGGCTAGGGTTCCGGGATTAGGGATTAGGGTTCGGGGATTAGGGGAGATGTCCAGAGTAAACTAGATGCGAAACCTGCGAATTAGCTACAAACCGAAACATACCATGCCATACATACACAGATGGACATGTAACATGACGATTGGACTATTTGGCCCATGGGTCCATTGACCCTATCGGAGTTCAGTCGCCTTTGCCCGAAGAGCCTGCTACATCCTCAAGCCTAAACCTTCAGCCCTAACCCAGAGATCCCATGGCACCTGACCCCTGCTAAAAGCCGCGAGCTACGAACCCCGTGTTTGAAACTCGGTATAAGCTCCGAGACCCTGAATGATATCTGCCTGTTTCTGGATTGTGCCTAGAACAGTCGTGGGCAGGATCGCATCCTGCAGCTCCTCTCAGAGTCCAAGGGTAACATTCTTGACGACGAGGTTGTCGCAGCACTTCGGGTTTAATTTGCAAGACCTGTAAGACGAAGCTGAATCGTTTAGTTCGAGCCTCCTGCTTCATTGCCACAGTAGGCTTCCAGCTTTCTGCGACCAAGCGGGTTGCGATTTGGCGCGCAAATGTCTGCCGAGTTACTCTATGTGTTGTTTATCGCGAGGCTTTGCCAACGGCTTTCGTATCCGGATAAGACCATGCATTGAAGGTTTTCCAACAGCTTTCATGGTTTTCCGAAGCCTCCTTCGGAGCGCGAGGGACTGTGGTTTCTGTTGTACCTCCCGTATTTTAGTGCTTTCGGCGCAGTGCTGAGTCAGTCGAGCACTGGCTATCGGTATCGGAGCTGTGGCAGCTGCAATGAACTCATCATCGTATGGCATTCGGATGGCAGGAGTTGATCAACACTTTGGCGACCTCAAAGACGGCGCATCACTTGGCTGGTGTCGTCTCAAAGGTTTTTGCACACTCGCATGCAGGCAGCATCGATTACGTCTAAAAAAGTCAGGGGATGAGAGGAGCGTTCTCATGTGCCACGAGCAAGATGTTTGATATGTCTCGGATCAGTGACGAGACTTGCGAAGTGTCAGCCACGACAACTGCTTTGCCACTTTCGTCGAGGCCTCTCTTCGAATAGAGGAACGTGTGGCTGAGCAGGACTGCTTTGACAGTGATTCGGGTGCCATCCGCAGTGCACATGAAACAGTCAGACATCCAACCTTAGCACCCATGTCGCAGGAGAAGACCCAGGCACAAGTGCAGGAGACGAGGGCGACCTATGCAGGAAGCTCAAAAACTCGAAGAGGAACACCAGTGATGTGTGGTGGGAAGTTGAATTTGTGAGGTGCCTGTGGCGGTTCGTGCACCTTGGCAAGCATGCGGGCTGCGTGCATTAATTTGTAGACTCCTGCTTGTACAGCCGTCCCGAACACAAGCTTGGGAAATGCGATGCCTCTGCTCATGAGAGATGCGTGAGATGACTTCTGAGGCAAGTGCTCTGTTCTTCGTGATTGCGGACCTCTGCAACGTGGCCGGCCCAGCATTCGGCAGGTCGCTGTTGTGGCTCCAGTCTGATTGGCTCACCAGTAAATGACCAGTGCAATATTTCATACAGAACCTATGCTTGGCCAATGATCTCGAGGGCGGCGTTCGTCACGCGTTGCCTAACCTATTGTGATCAATGTATCCATTGACCGTGGGTGAGGTGGAGCCGATGTACCAATATAGCTTGGAATGGCACTGGCCTTGGTTGAAACTGCAGACGGCTCTTCAACAAGTTCGGAGCAGCAGGTGTTAGGTTAACGCGAAAGCCACGCATACTTAGAGAGGCAACATCTACTTGTCAGCATAACCTGCCGAGGTTCTACACCATCTACGAGCAAGCCATTGCAGCTTGCATGCGTCAAAGTTGCCTGCGCACTAACATGATGCTTGCAATGTCAGAGTGGAATTCAAGCATCAGACTGATTTTCATTGCGATGCGAGCGGCCGAAGTGCTTTTCCGCATGACGTGAAAGGCTGCAGCGGAGCGCTTTGAACGAAACATTCAAAAGCGCCTGACGGCGCTGCAGTCGAAGTTCCTGGAAATGCTCTTTGCTTGGTCCTCGGCCAGCTGTGACGTTTCGCTGGGGGTCGGATTTGAGCAAGTGTGAACCTGCCGTGCATTAGACGCGCCGGCTGCCGAGGAACAAACATGCCACTCACTCTTCGAGAAGGCGAAGTGGTCCCTGAGTTCCTTTGCAAGGGTTCTGCATGAAATGCAGCTGCACTCATGCGACTTGCATGCTGCTGTAATTAACAGCGGCATCTAAGTGTCTCCCTGTGCCTCCGCGCCTCGACAGGACAAGCTCATGCTGTCCCTGCTGCTTGCCTTCAAGTCCATGGAGGCCCGCTTGAGATGTTTGGCATGCCTGCGAGTGCTTGTGGCCGCGTGCTGCAGAGGTTGACGACGACATCAACCTGGAAGAGAAGCAGCGCCCGGCGCGATTTCCAACCCATGTAGTCCAGTTCCTCGGAAGCTGTTCCCTAGCCTCTACACCGCAACACTGAAACCCGAGAAACCTCGCCCAAACAAACCCAAAAAGCCTAAGCCCTTGTGGTTGGATGAACGCCAGGAGACTGCTCCTCATGGCTCTGGGGGGTGGCAGCGCGCACCTACCGAAACCCACGGAAGAATGGCTTACAGAGAAGATGTGGAGCAGGAGACGCTAAGACTTAGGAGGTGAGGATCGTAGGGTTTTTGGGGTTTAGGGGCTCAGGGTTTTTTTGGGGCTTTCAGGCTTCTGAGACTTTGGGGCCTGTTTTTTTTTTTTTGCTGGCTTTTTGGGGTTTGGGGCTTTGGGGGTCGGGCCTTTTAGGCCTAGAGTTACAACAGGGTTCTAGATTCTTAGGGTTTTTCAGGGTTTTTCCGGGATTTAAGAGACTTTGCCGGGCTGTCCCACGCAGTCGATTCTGCAAGATATATAGTACTAGACATACCGAGGCTGCAAATAGGACTGTTCTCTTATTCCGCACTGACCAAAACAGCATTCGTGAGTGTCTGAAGGTCTCTACCAGTACATAATATGTCTGAAGTCGTTTAAGGACAAGTCGTGTACTTGCACATGCATGCAGATCCTGTTGCAGAGCGTTGCGTGCAGGATCTGCGTCTTGGACAAAGTCGGCAAAGGGCCTTGGTACAAGTTTGCCACCTCCTTCCAGGTGCGGTGGGATCCTTGAAGTTACATGCTTTCGATGTCAGTGGAATGATTAGCATCCTCAACTCTCACTAGGACTATAACTATGACTTTTGCTACTGCTGCTGCCGCTGCTACTGCTGCTGCTGCTGGTTCTGCTACTGCTGCATTAATGTAGCTGTTATTATCCAAAATCATGATCAGTCTTGTTGTTGCTGGGAGAGCCACCAGAACAGGACAACATCGAGAAGTGGAAGGCTCTTTTCGACTCTGACAACCCTGCGCCTTGGGCCGTAATAAGTACTAATTATGTTAGTTCTAATGTTAGTATTCTTGCCACCGGTAATGGTAATGACAATGATAAAGTAGTAGTGGTGGTAGTGGTGGTGGTAGTAGTAGTAGTAGCAGTAGCAGTAGCAGTAGCAGTAGCAGTAGCAGCAGCAGTAGCAGTAGTAGCAGTAGGCTACCGGCCCGGGCGAGGTCCGTATTGCATGTTTTTTGTGAAGATGTACGTTGGAAGCACAGTGCTTCTGTAGGGGTTTTAGGTACGCAAAGATGTTCTCAAACGTTTGCGCCAAGGCAGGAAGGAAGTAGTATTAGTAGTATTAATGGGTCGTCTTGTTGTTTGTAGTGTGGTAGCAGCAATAATGAGAATTGTTTATTCATACCTACAGTACGAATAGGGCTTTGGATATACCGCTCGGGATGAAGGCATGGTCCAGTTTTTGCTTTTCGTTTCATGCAGCTGCAGCCGGGAAACAGCACAGCATTGCTAGTCACAGCATCGTGGCAGATCTTGATGCCGTTGCGATGAGATGCTCCCGAATATGACAACATTAACTGTAACGGCGTTTTCAAGATGAAATAAACATACTCTTTTAGGAAACTGAATTAGTGCGTCAGCAGTCCGGTCTTTTGCTGTTCCGCTAACGTCCAACAGTTGTGGTCAGGTCTGTGTGTTGAAGTTGACTTGAGACTGTCGTAGCTCGTGTACGCAAGGTTTGTCGCCGGTTGAAGCAGGAGTTTCCGAATCACCAGAGATGTCGCCGAAACACTGCGATGCGGAAGGAAACGTATACCCTTAGGAAACTTGTACCCTTAAGCAGTGCAGCTTAGGTGGCTTACAACTGGCCTGGCAAGGCCAGAGGGACAGTTTCGGCTTGCGATGTCCCGATGGAAGGGTTTGGTTGCAATTGTCATGCCACATCCTGCCAAACAGACCCATCTTCTCCAGATCTGTACGAGAGCGCCGGGATTTGCCAGGAGCAGATGTCGGCACTGCAGCGGGCTTTGGTATTGCTGGCCGTGCCCCGGCCAAGAGATAACAAAATGGATCCCTCGAAGTGCCAGCAGAGTGAGGAGGAGGGCCTGCTCTGACCTCTCCGGGGCCACTTGTCCTGTGGAGCCAAGGTACGTACGGACTGTACCATCGCAGGCCTGCAAGAGGCGGCTTCACAGCCCGTCTGCGCCGAAATCTGACCCGGGGCACTTCTCCCTACCTTCGTCGGGAGGTGATTTCCACCAACCTGGGCAAGAATTTTCTGGAACCACCTGGCTTCAACCTGGAGAAGTCTCTTGGGCTCAGAAAGGGGGGGTGGGTGGATTTGTAGTTTTTGGGGGTTTCCTGAGATTCACCCGTGTTCTGGTTACATGTGCAGCCAGGTCCTTCCATGGCAGCAACGCGTGCAAGCCGCTCATCTTCGTGTTGTCGTCGGGAGCCGATCCAATGGCCTTCGCGGCCTGTTTTTTTTCTACAGTTAGGAACGTTTTGCTTCTTGCGATCTTGTCTGGTGTCACATCACAAGCCAGGTCGAAGTCATTCGTCTGGCGCAGAAGGTGGGCATGAACGAGCGGTATACGACCGCGGGGGGCCTAGGATTGGATGGTAAACATGACAAGCTGTAGATCTCTGTTTCGATATAATACCAGACTGTACAAGAAAATACCTTTCGATTACTGCTTTATGTATGCTACGCTTCACCATGCAGCAGTATACTCTATTCTGCTCTGTTCTGTTCTGTTCTATTCGAGTCGAGTCTAGTCTAGTCTTTTCTTTTCTATTTCTATGTCTACTCTAGTCGATTCAATTCTGTTCTGTTCTATTTCCATTCTATTCGATTCAAGTCTGTTCAATTAAATTCTATCATGTTATCTCATACTACATTATTCTATTATTACTCTTGTTATTACTACTATTATTCTTCTTCTTATTATTACTATGATGATGATTATTATTATATACACTACACTGCAACGCTCTGCTACGGGTCGGACGCCGTGTCTCCGAGGTGTCCCTGGGACAGGGCCAGGGCCCGAAGGCGGCGACCTGAGAGTCTTTCCTGCTCCGGTTTCTAGGGCTTAGGGGTATAGGGTTTAGGGATGTTTAGGGTTTAAAGTTTAGGGTTTTGGTTGTAGGGTTTAGGGTTTGGGGTTTAGGGACGTTTAGGGTTTAAAGTTTAGGGTTTTGGTTGTAGGGTTT